TTCTCGGTAGTATATAAAAAAACAAGTCGTTCTTTCGTTATTCGATGTGTACATAGAACGTTTCTTAAATTCCCATAACGCTTTATTAACCATGAATGATATAAGCTCACGGATTACCGATCTTTCAATGCATTCTATGAGTAGCGCCTGCTAGCCTTAATCTCGTCGGCCGCATGCTTATATTTTACACATCGGAACTCAAAAATTGCATTATTAAAATCATCCCAAAACAAAAAAATTTTTTGTTTAGTAATAGCTGTCTGAAGTTTACGCTTATATCAACCGAAACATTCTAGAGCTCGAAACCTGGCTGGTGAATGTGGACATTTTTCTGCTAACGTTAACAAAGTACGTAGAAATGCATCCACGTTTATATGCTAGTATCCTGTTATTTTTTGGAATCTAATACGATCTTTAATGAAGCGGAAATAACAGCAGATTTCCAATCGTTAATCGCTCAAAAACATACCCAATATTTACACTGAAAGATCAAGGGACGCGCCTGAAATACTTCCTGACATCTGTTAAGGTTTTCAGAAGTAACTAGTCTACTTAATCATGCAAAAATTACAAACTTAGATAATTTTAAACACTCTCAACTCAATTCTATCAAGTTAATGAAGAATTATCTACCCCATTTTCAGGATTTCACGGTCATGGAAACGGAAAGCCAGCCGATTTGAGCCAAACCTTGAACCATACCGAATGAACAAGAATCGAGAGCAAAGAAATGAATTGTTTTATAATAACTTGAGAAAAAGATAAGGAATATGTTGGATAATGAATGAATCTTCTTTTAAGAAGAGAACGCAACTGGTTTAATATAAACATTCATTACTATAACCCATTATACAGGTGATTGTTTGATTGTACCACAAAATACACATCTTCCTCCCTTAACCTTGGGCTTGCTCACGTAGGTTTGGTAGTCTCGCTTTTACATTTTGTCCCGGTCTTGGTATTATTTCGATACTACGAGATCGCCAACGAATATATTTTGGCTACAATCGCAACTGGTTTTCTGATTTATGCCTCTAATGGTATTCAGCGTGGCTATTGGCATAATACAGCTTCAATTTACTATAGAATTCTGAAATCTCAACAAGTGAAGAAATTCACTTTGTTTCATCATACTGCGCATTAGTGAGAAAGTTTTAGTGGCATTGAGAATTGGTTCGGTGTTGACTTTCGAACCTATTCTTTGTGTCCAATTCATGGAAACAGCATCACGCAAATGACTTGAAGACAGAGGTAAAAGCTTTAAGTTCTGAAATAGTCTTATGTATTGCTAAACTTAGAAGTAGTAGTAGCTGTCTTGAAATTTTCCGAAGTTCATAAATAACCTTTTATGAGGAAGGATGCAAATTGAATCTCAGCTTCCGAATTCGACTCTCACTAGAGCTGCGATCGCCATGGTGTATCTGTTGTTAGCTAACTTGGTTCATCATCTCAGTAACTCATATTCAGTTTCAAAACCTGCGAACAAAATCTTCAGAATTTATTCAGTTTTAACTTATTGTGGGTTAGGGTCAAAGTTGAAGGGGTTTCTAAAAGAATTGATCTCAGAATTAGTTCGTAGTTTTTGAACATTGAACTGTCGTGATTAACATCACAGGTGAATAATTGCGTCTCTTTCTTCACTTAGCGAGCACGTTCTCAGGTCATCATAGATATTCATGAGTTCTGCCGTGTCTTGGATTTCCTCTATTGCTGGAAATACGTTTCCTTCAGTGAAAAAAAGTGGGAATCTATTTCTCTCGTTTCTTATCGTAATGAATATTCAAAAATATGAATATTTGCACTCATAATGGAGTGAAAATCTGGATAAAACCACGGTAATTTAGAGTATTCATGTTGTTAAATATGAGACCGTCAAACATTAAATTGATAACAAACGGTAGAGAATTCAGAAGATCACTTTATCATATTTAGGTGGCTCGAGTCGCGGTTGACTATGATCACCACTACAGACCAATTACGTTCCCGTCACAGGGTATAATATCTCCGTGTATCAAGGACAGAGAAGAAGAGGTAATCCATACAAGGGAATATATTTGCCGGCGACTTCGTAGTATCGAAAGCGTGCCAGATAAGAGGGGCGAAGTTACAGTGGACAGTATACCCAAACATGGCAGCAACACAAAAGGTAAATTTGCGCGTACAAAGTACAAATAAGCAAAAGGTTCAATAAAACAATCACTGGTACATTCAGTTATGATAATAAATTTCTAAATTAAACCAGTCGCATTCTCTTCATAAAAATTAAGTCACTACAATGTAACACGGGAGAACGAAGGTGATAAAGTAACTTTTTTGAGATTGCTAATATCCGCAAATCCTTTCTTAATTTATTTATGGGAACATGGGTTATTTAGTTTCGCGACATTAGTACACGTTATAATCCTCAATTTGTGGTTCCTACCTAGAAAGACCTTAAACGTCATTGGTTCGTTCACTTTTTTATGTTATTTTCTGACTCTATTAAGCACATTGTTTGTATCTTACATATTACTCATGAATCGGGTGCTTGTTGTTCATTGTTTCAAGCTACCTTAGAATTAAATATTATTGATGCTGGGCTATAGTTAGCTGTGCTGGGGCACCGAGGAAAAGCACAGGTTGTCCCATAATAGTGCCGCTGGTCATACGTTCTGTTCGTAGATACTCAGTTGTATTTTATATATTGCAAGCATAGTAGAATTTGAAAATGACTTAATAATGATGAGCGTTATTGAATTTGCCTTTTGAGTTAACTCTCGATTATGTAGCCTTTTGTAAAATAATTACAAGTATTTCAAAATGTTTGTTAGTTCCATACCTAGTATATTGACATAACCTAATTTTTTATTATTGTGTGTTTTCCTAGTGCTTTTTCTAATTGATTGGTTGAAAGTCATAGAAATTGAAATATCAATCCATGTTTTTTCCATAAATTGAACGCAGGATCGTACATGTCAGTTTATGTTACAGGGATTTTTTTGGGCCTTCTAGGGCTCGTATATAAATTAGGCGTTGACGACTTGTAGAGCATGATAGAAGCATTTATGTTATCGATAAAAAGACCGGTTGAGGGGATTCTTGCCGAACGTAAAGTGGCTATGGAGAAAGATACTATTGTACTTTAAAGTGTACATTCCATCATAAGGATTGTTTCTAATAAGTGACTGTTTGCAGTCTAACATCTGTATAGGAACGAAAATGATCGTAAGATGAAAATTGTCCAAATATTTAATTGGCGAATAGTGATAACCGTTACAGTAAAAAGAACCAACAGAAGTCAGGAGATTGCAAACAGTATTGTAAACAACAGACTGTGATGTCATCAAAACTTCTTTGTTCTGAGAAGGATATGATTTGTTCTCCCAAGAGGTGGTTAACGGACTGTTAAAAACCACTTAAATTACAGCACACCAGCTTCGTATTTGAGTTTCTTTCGAAGTTTTGTATCATATTTGTACAACTGATGAAGTAACGACAATTGCAAACAAAAATTCTGCTATAAGAGATCTCCTTTACTCAGGTACCTTTCTATTCATTGAATACAGAACAATAGCAGAATACGGAAACCAAAGAATAAAGGATTTCAGAGATTTACTATGTTCCTTAAAGTTATAATGAGAAAAATTCATACAAAGAAACAAAACTCTAAGCAGTGAATAACAGGTATCTTGGTGAATTAATGCTTGTTGACAGAAAAACCTGCTTTCATCTTCTTGGTCATTTATCAGCGAGGCATGACCATACTCTTGATGGAACTAATGCTTACTAGTGGAGATGATCATCTTCTTCATCATGAATATGATATAATAAGGCCGGAATTCAGCTGTTCAACTAACAATCAGATGGTGTCCTGTATCGCAAGTTTAAGAAATGCTAACAGGATGAACAACCTTTATACAAGTCAAGGAAGGACAAATAATGCACTTGACTCATCTTGTCAAATGAAGCCAGATCACTGACCATCTTGCATTCAATGAACAAAGCATACCAAAACAGTCTTCCTAGATTTTGACCACTAGCGTTGGCTCATCCACGAACTGTTCCATAGTGCTTCGATTGAAATAATTCGACAGGGTAACTTCATAGACTAAAAGCAATAAAACTGTTTCATTGTTATGGATTTGTACAAAGTTCAGTAGCAAAAGGTTGATTCGCATTGCCATAAGCACAACAATAATGAATACTAAAGTTAGTTATCTATCTTTCTGAACCTACTAGTTTACTCGTTGATTCACGGATGGTTTTCAACATAAATGGATGTAACCTAACACGTATCAAAATAAAAGAATTAGTGGGGTTTCAAAGTGCTAATACTAACTTCATTAAAATTATATGACGAATCTTACTAGTTAGTGAACATAGTGTATCTCACTGAAACTTTCGAGTCTCCGATAATCCAAAGAATATTTCAATTAAAATCTACTGTGGGAGAGAACAAACCAGATTCTAAGGGAGGAAAAAGCCCTGAAAGTGGATAGGATACATATCAAAGAAAGCACCCACCTACGTCATAAGTCAGGCTGTCACTTGGAATGCTCAAGACAAATGGAGAAAAGAAAGGCTAAGGAACACATTATGCCGAGAAACGGAGATAGATATGAGAAGAATAGACAAATATTGGACAGAACTAGAAAGGAAAGCACAGGAGACAAGTAGGTGGGAGAATGCAGGTCAGCAGCCTATGCTCCATTAAGAGTAACAGGCGTTTGTAAGTAAGTAAGTAATCCACTGGTCATTACTCACAAACATTAGCAATTTCACATAAACGTAATTTTGTGATCCAATGCTGTGTATATCATACACTTGAAGTGATAGAAGTTCATTGACCACGAATTCACAAAGCATCATACCATCTACTCAAACTAAAAGTCTGAAATAAGTTTCTGTCGTTGTACACAACCAAAACACCAGTCCATAGTTTACTAGTTTTAAACAATATCATTTAGTTTACATGAATAAACAAATGAAAACTGCCTCGATACTGTTTAACTTTTAAACAATATCTATATTTGTTTACCAAAAATATACAGTATGCCAGTGAATAGAGAAATTACACATACACAATAACAAATAATTTACTAAACAAAATTGAAATACATTTTTAAATTACAAAAAAGTCTCAAATATACAAACTCAATTCAATATTGTTTATCACAGAATATTTAATTGAGAAAACAAACTGAAGCAAAGCAAAGCAAACAACGCTTCCACCTACTAGTATTCTCATTTATGGATAGAACCAATCAAGAAAATGTAACGAAAATGTTAAAATTATCAAAATAAAAAGCATCCAAAATTGTACCGTTGCTTTGGAATCAATTGCTTCACGAAGTAGTTCATTTCCTTGACGTATATATTCAGTGGCAGTTACAGATGAATCAGCTATCTTTTCAGTTGTCTATATATGTAACAGTGAACAGAAGCAAAACATGAAATAACACGGATTAATCATGTTGAAGAATACTACTATAAGTGATTATGATAAGTTTAACAAAGAGTAATAAGCCGAGAATATAAGTAATCAGTGAACCAATCCAATTTTAAAATAGCAACTCTTGAATTTCCATGCACAAATCACTCATCTAATAAGAAATTTCGGTATTATAGCTGATTTCAGTTTGCGATCAAGAGCTCGAACCTAGAACTCGAGATCCCAATTCATCATATTAATTTATCACTTTATTTTGACCTTAATAAGTAATTGGAATCGTAATACTAAGGTTATTTTAGTATCGATTAAAGGTCGTCTAAAAACTATTAGTCTCACTGGTAATAACTGTCATGCTTGCCACTAGTTGATATGCTTGAAACTATTACGAGAGCGAAGATAAATGATCCAGTGACAAGATAGGCTACTCTAATCCGAGCGTCCCAAGGCCCAACTAAGTAGAGGAAGAAGTCTTGACAAGACGTAGAAAGCGTATTCTACAAGCACTTAGGAAATCAAGGTTCACAAGCACACAAATCGAGTTTATTTACACATGATAGAAACGTCCTTTGGACAGCCATGAAAATAATGTACTAAAATAATTACTTACTTGCGCCTGTTACCCCCAATGGAGCATAGGCCGCCCACCAGTTTTCTCCAACCAACTCTGTCCTGGGCTTACCTTTCCAGTTCTGTCCAATGTTTGTTCATTCCTCTCATATCTTTCTCTATTTCTCGGCGTAGTGTGTTCTTTGGTCTTCCTCTTTTCCTTTTACACTGAGGGTTCCATATAAGGGCTTGTCTTCTGACGCAGTTACGTGCTTTCCGCAATGTGTGTCCTATCCACCAACTCCACCACTTCTTCCTGATTTCCTCCTCCACAGGAATCTGGTTTGTTCTCTCCCACAGTTCGTTGTTACTGATGGTGTCTGGCCAACAAGTACGAAGTATTTTGCGTAGACAACTGTTAATAAACACTTGTATCTTCTGGATGATGGCTTTCGTAGTTCTCTAGGTTTCCACTCCATACAGTAGAACTGTCTTGACATTTGTATTGAAAATCCTGATTTTAGTTTTGGTTGAAAGTTGTTTGGAGTTCCAGACATTTTCAACTGTAGAAATGCAGCCCTTGCTTTGCCAATCCGCGCCCTCTCATCTGCATCTGATCCAACTTGGTTGTCGATGATGCTGTCAAGATATGTAAAGGTGTTAACGTCCTCCAAGGCATCTCCATCAAGAGTGATTTGGTTGGTGCATGTTGTGTTGCATCGGAGAATTTCGCTCTTTCCTTTATGTATGTTGAGACCTACTGCTGCAGAGGCTGCTGCTACACTGGTCGTCTTCTCTTGCATTTGTTGTTGAGTGTGCGATAGAAGAGCCAAGTCATCTGCGAAGTCCAGATCGTCCAGCTGCGTCCGATCTGTCCATTGAATACCGTGCTCCCCTCCAGATGCTGACGTCTTCATAATCCAGTCGATCACCAGGAGAAAGAGAAAGGGTGAGAGTAAGCAACCTTGCCTGACACCGGTCTTCACCTCGAATGAGTCTGTTAGCTGTCCTGCGTGTACGATTTTGCAGTTGAATCCATCATAAGAATTCCATATGATGTTGACTATTTTCTCAGGCACACCGTAGTGTCGAAGAAGCCTCCGCAGTGTTTTCCTATCCACGCTATCAAATGCCTTCTCGTAGTCGATGAAGTTGATGTAGAGTGGTGAGTTCCATTCAATTGATTGTTCCACAATGATCCGTAGTGTAGCAATTTGGTCAGTACATGATCGATCCTTACGAAATCCGGCCTGTTGATCTCGAAGTTGGACGTCTACGAAGTCCTTCATTCTGTTTAACAATACCCTGTTGAAGACTTTGCATGGTATTGAGAGAAGAGTAATGCCTAGGTAGTTCTCACAATTGCTCTAATCACCTTTCTTTGGTATTTTGATGAGGTATCCTTCTTTCCAAACTGATGGTACTTGTTCCTCATCCCAAATCTTCTTAAAGAGAATATGAAATATTTTCGCAGTTGCTTCCACATCTGCTTTGATTGCCTCTGCTGGAAAGTTGTCTGGTCCTGCTGCTTTGCCGTTCTTGACTTGTCTGATGGCCATACTGATCTCCTCAATCGTAGGTGCGCCAATATTAATTGGGAGGTCCGTGGATGCTGCGTCAATGTTGGCTAGATTCAGTGGAGCTGGTCGATTCAATAGTTCCTTAAAGTGCTCTACCCACCTATTTCGCTGCTGTTCAGTGTTGCTGATTACTTTGCCTTCCTTGCTTTTCACTGGTCGTTCTGGTTTACGATAGTTTCCGGCCAGCTTCTTTGTTGTTTCGTACAATTGTCTCAAGTTTCCGTCTCTTGCAGCCTTTTCCACCGTCATTGCTAGATCTTCCACATATTTTCGTTTGTCAGCTCTGATGCTCTTCTTCACTTCCCTGTTTGCTTCCGTGTATTCAGCTTGTGCGGTAACTTTCTCCGCTCTTGTTCGGCTGACATTCACTGCTGCCTTCTTGTTCCTCCTTTCTTCAATTTTTTCAAGAGTACCAACAGCGATCAATTCCTTGTGATGGTACTTCTTGTGACCCAGAACGTCGTGACATGTTGAAGTGATTGCCTCCTTAATCCCTTTCCAATTGTTCTCCAATGTTGTGTCCTGTCTGTTGAGTAGATCCTGAGAGGCCTGGAACCTATTGGTGAGGGCTATCCTGAATTCGTTGAGCTTTACAGTATCCCGAAGAAAGGCCGTATTAAACTTGTATGATGCTATCTGTCCCCTTGTCCAGTACTAAAATAATACATCAACCAATAACGGTAAAGGATTTTCCGGGTGGGGAATGTAATCTTAAGGTCAAGTGATCAGCCAATGCTCGAAAACATAAATTCCAAAACTGGGACCTTGATCAAATGAGTTCTGGGGATCTAACGTCCCCAACAATAACAGACAATATGTACCAGTGATTACTTTGATAAGAGCTCCTTATAAGCTATCAAGGAATAAGTTCATTGTCAGTAATTTCTGAGAAGTTTTAGAACTGTTTAGAGAACTAGTACTTTCAAGATTCGGATGTAGGTGATATGCGTTATGATGAACGGTGTCTCAGATTTGAACATGATACATGCTAACCACCCCTGTCAAAATGATTACTTAAGATAGAAGATAACAGTGGAAGAGAAATTTCATTTAGCTACGAAATATAATGTTAAGCTTGTCAACACGTAGTATACACAAGGAATAATTTAAGCCCAACTTATTTATAATTTATCTGTTATCGTACAAAAATATGTAACAATGTGAAACATCACTTATTTACAACAGATAATATAGTAAGTGCATTAAAACCTATTCAATAAATAGTTGGAAGCGAATTTTCCACATACTTAAAAGTATGTCACTATGTTTTTGATATAATTAAAGGATTTGTGAGTTTGAGATGGTGAAGAAAATTTGTAGTTCAGGTGGATGATTGTGATGGAGTGTTGTTTTCTGGATTGAATGTTTTCGTAGTGGAGCATTTGTAGTGAATGAGAACACAGGTGAGGGCAACCGGATTGTATTTAACGAAAATTACACAGTTACTCAGTAAAATAGGAAAACCATATATCGTAAACGGTTAATTTGCATATCTTCAATCCATCATCAATCCATTGTCTGACATTTCACTATTCATGCGTTTCATACAAATTCCATTGCGTTTCCACTCTTCCTTTCTCTTGATCTTCCCCTATCTTCTGCTGCCAGACATTACGTTTTTACTCGCGTCATATACTACTTATAAGTAGCTCACACCACACATTCATTGTTCTTCTTCTGAACAACATTATCAACAGCACAAACTTCTTCAGATAGAAGTGAAGTATTCGAATTTCTCCACGTATGACTCGTAGTTTCTTCTGTTGACCTCAAACTTGATTGGTTTTTATTGACCTTAATCAATCAATCAAGTTTGAGGTCAATAGAACAAACTACAAGTCATACATGGAGAAATTCGAATAGTTCACTTCTTCTACCTGAAGTTTGTGCTGTTGATGTTGTACAGAAGAAGAAGAATGAAAGCTCCACTACGAAAACATCCAGCCCAGAGAACGAAATTCCATCAGAATTTATGAGTTTCTAAATTCAAATTGCCCGTTTATCAAAATTACCATTCATACAAATATCCAATTTTTGGATATCAACTTTATAACAGTTTGTTAAATCATAAAACCGAACTACCAACGAGAATCTTATCCAGTGTTAAAAAGTATCATACAAACGTACATCAGTTCATGTTGTCATACCACATTAGCACAGAGATGTAATTGTCAATTCAAATCCAATAGTAGTAGAGGTAGTAAATGTATTAGCAGTGGTCGGACAAGTTAGGATCAGAAGATATTATTCAAGAAGTAGAATCTAGTGAAACCTTAAGTTGAGGTGAGATAACCTTAACTCTCACTGATCCATCTATCTGCAAACCGTCTTCAGTTCCCCAATCTTGAATTCGGATGAGAGAGCACAGCACACAAGCTAGTTACCATATTCCAGGCAATCAGTATATTTGTCTTGAACAGTTGTTCGTTTATACACATGAATTATCAAACTGTGAGATACATCACAAATAAGAAATAATAACCTACGATCGGGTTTTCATTGGCGAAGAACAGATCAACCGGTACACAATTAATTAATGATAACTAATGATGACGATAAACTATACAAAACAAGTCAATAGATCCAAATTAAAGCTTACAATACTGGAAAAGTATGTTGAGGCATAATAGGAATTAGACAGTAAAGATAGAACAATAGTTCGTGAATTAATTCCGAAAGATACAACATTCCAAGTTTTCAATTATGTGGATAGGACAACGCTATGGAGGATTCTTCGACATTGCAGCGTGCCTAAAACGATAGTTAACACCATACAGCATTCCCATGATGGATTAAACTGTAAAATTGTGTACGGAGGACAGATGACAGACTCGTTCAAGGTGAAGACCGGTGTCAGGCAAGGAAGCTTACTCTCACTGTTTCTCTTTATCCTGTTGATCGAATGAATTATGAAGACGTCAACATCTGACAGTTCCCATTGTATGGGTCGGAAACTTGGAGAACTACAAAAGCCATCATCCAGAAGATACAAGTGTTTATTAACAGTTGTCTACGCAAAATACTTCGGATTCGTTGACTAGACACTATCATCAAAAACCTACTATGAGAGAGGACGAACCAAATTCTAGCGGAGGAGGAAATCAGGAAGAAGTGCTGCAAGTGGATAGGATACACATTGAAGAAAGCACCAAACTGCATCACAGGAAAATCCCTCACTTGGAACCCTCAAGGTCAAACGAAAAGAGGAAGGCCAAGAAATAGAGATAGACATCAGAAGAAAGAACAACAACTGGACAGAACTGGAAAAGAAGGCTGAAGATAGAGTAGGTTGGAGAATGCTGGCCGGTAGCTTATAATCCATTGGTTGTAATAGGCGAAAGTAGGCAAGTAAGTATTTACTCAGTCCCAGTAAGTGTAGTCATATTTTTCCATTGAACATCAGTGAATAGAAAAAGAAAGAAAGCATAAAGCAACTTAAAATCTAGAACAATTATGAATAGGGACAAATAGTTATTCCAGATGTAACCTTTGTACCGAGTACAGATTTATGTACACACTTGGTTCAGATTACATTTAACGTGTGACCGGCTAGTTGCCTCCAAAATCAAAATAGTGAAATTCAAATCTGCAACTAAACAGGTTGAAAATTAAATACTCTAACCACTGGTCTACTACTTGCTTCTACTACTCTGTTAACGGGACATAGATTGGATGAAAGCATGATTACGTTGTTATTGCATGCTGATTGGCTCTTCCGTATCATATCAGCGCTAATCGATACTGACGGAACATTCTAGAATCTTCTCATGTAAGAAAACTATAAATATACTGACCTAATGTCTTCCATCTAACTTTATTATTGGAATGTAATCTCTATTTCTTGTTCAATCACGTTCTGATTTTCGGGAGAATGTCTCAAGTGTATTGGTGTCCGAGAATACTAAGCATTAGGAATAGCTGGGTTGTAATAGTCAGTCAGTTGCAATGTCGAACTTCGTACATATGTACATAAGTTCATTTTGCCATAACACATTAGCACAGAGATGCAAATGTCAAACCAAATCTCATAGTGATAAAGAGAGTAGAGGTATTAATGGTAATGAAGAATATTAGGGAGCGAAGGTATTATTCAAGAAGTATAATTCAGTGAGATAAGGTTAGAAATACAAAGGTAGAAGTGCTGACGAATCCAGAAGATTAGGATTTGAGAGATCACAACGAATGGATACACTTGCGCCATTGCAAACGATTCTGAGCCCATTCAAAGTCTCTAACCATTGGTGACTTTCGTCTCGCGGACCCCAACCAGGTAACCTACATCTACCAACATGACTCAGTCCACTTGTCAGTGACTTCATGGATTTCTGCCATGTTTTGGTCTGGCCGCCCCTAGCTTTCTTCCGACCTGCTCCCACACCACAAAACATAGCTCGTCGCGGCAGTCGGTGGTTAGCCATACGTAACACATGTCCCAACCACCTCAACTGATGAAGTTTCACCACTTCATCTATTGGGTTGTAATAAGAAGAGAATTATAACAATTACACAAACAGAAGAAAATATAACACTCTTAAATATATATAGATATTGTATAGAACATTACCTCCAACTGTTCCATTAAATGTTCCGATAAAGTTTGATTTAAATGTCCAATTTCAGAGATTTTTTGAGCTACTTGATGCAATTCATCTTTTTCTTGTGTTAAATGTCGATATAACATTTGATTTTCTGCATCAAGTGTACGTAATTCATTTTCAGTGAAATTTTCGCTTTCTTCTTGTTGTTGTGATGTTGATAATTTATGAAATGTTTGATCATTTTGATTATGATTAGTACCACGTTTTTTCAACTTGCTATCAGTATTCTCATATTTATTGGATGATTTTAAATAATCAGTGATATTTGTACCGGAAGCTGAAGCAGCAGCAGCAGCAACAACAGATCGTACACCAGTGGCAAGATTCCCTGATAATTCTACAAGACGTTGTTGTCGCTTGATCTATGAATGACGCATAAAGAAATAATAAGAAAACTCTTGAAAAAAAAAACTCAAAAATAACAGAATCAAAAAGAAGAAGGGTTACAACTTGAGTAATTTAATTTTTAAATTATAGAGTATTGAATATGAATTGGTGAGAAAATAATGAAACCAGAGTCAAACAGAAGGAGGTGAAATACTGGTACACGAAATGGTAACCGATTCAGTCGATCAGTCAGCTACAACGTACAACTTTGTACATACGTACTTAAGTTCAAGTTGTCATGCTACGCTACCACAGACAAACACACAGAGATGTCATTGTCAAATGAATGAAATGATGAAATTTTCGGAGTCTTAGTGAGAACCCGTGACAGGTGGAGTTCAATCCTGTCGTGTGTAGGCAGTCAATATCAAAGACGAATGGGTG